AGCTGGCTGTAAATGGCCCTTTCCTTTTTCCTACCCAGCATACCATATCAGGACCACATGCTGTTCTCTCATTAACTACTTATAGTTTGTTAAGTTGTATATGTTGACCTATTTAAAATCATAAAATTGTCAAATGAACTTTAGACTCCTTCTTTTACATCAGTGTGTTTAGTGTGTATAAATGGCTTCCTGTAATATTGACATCAGCTGAATGCATACAGATGATATTTACTGTCAGCTCTGTGAACTTTATTCCAGTGGTGTTTTATGTGGACTAAGTAGTCTGAAGTTCCAGCTTTTAAACAAAAATATCTCTCCTGAACTGCATTTACTGTTTCAATGTCACAAATGTTTATGTGACAGTCAGGAGTGACATCAGAATATCCCATTTCAGTCCCTCAATGCTTAGCTCCCACATACATTTAGTTTGCAAAATGCAAATTCCAGAATGTATAATCAGCAATGCAGATTCCAAACCACTGAAAACTGTAGATTCACAAACTTTTTTCATTAATTAGCTTGATTTGTGACAGATATACTCCACAAGGTATAACCACCACAAAAGAGTCTTACTGAAATTGTTCAGAGATCTATGTCAAACCTACGCTACCTTTTAGGATCAGACTATCATGTGGAGAAAACTTATTTTTCTCTCATTTGAACAATATTGCCATAAAATAAGAAAAAAATTTACAAATGTGTTATATTCTTGTCTATTTCCAGTCTTTAATACAGTTCAGTAAAATGAAGAGGGCAAAAGAAGTTGTTAGGGAAATCTCAGGGAGTGATACATTCCAAAGTCCTATGATAGTATCCTTCCTAGGTCCTAAAATGGAAGATAGAACCAGGTGTTTTTTAAATTGAAAATGGATCTTTTTATATCATATTGTCTGATTATTGTTTCCCCACATCCAGCTCTTTTCAAATTCTCCTCAGTGCCTCATCCACCCAAATCCACATGCCTTCTCTCATTAGAAAACAAACAGGCATCTGAATAAATATATAAAATAAGATAAAATAAAAACAAACAAACGAATAGGACAAAATAAAAAAAATTTAAAACCAAAGAACAAACAAACAAAACAGAAACAACAACAACAAAACCAGAGACAAAGAAAAAGCGTAAGAAACATATGGGACTGTGACACACAAAGTCAAATATCCAGAAATCCCCTGAAAACACAAAATTAGAAACCATAATGTATAAGCAATAGACCTGTAACATTAAAAAAAAAACCTAGACAAAACATTATGAGGCAAAATTATTCCAAAAACATTATTTAATTCACCTTGTGTTATCTGTATACTGCTGGGTATGGGGCCCACCCTTAAGTGTGGTTTGTACATCCAGTGAGGCAAGCAGATGTCAACGAGAGATAGATTCTGTGTTAGCAATGGGGTTTTTTTTTGCATCCTCTCCCAGCACTGGGATGCCATCTGGCCTAGACCTGTGCAGGCCCTGCGCAAATAGCCACAGACTCCATGAGTTCATATGTGCATCACTCCTGTTGTGTTGAGGAGACCTTGTTTCCTTGGTGTCCTCCGTCCTCTGTCCTCTCTGTGTCTTACAATCCTTGTGCCTCTTCTTCCTCAGAGTTCCCTGAGTCCTGACGGGGAGGGGAAGGATTTGATGGAGGCATCCCATTTAGGACTGGGGGTTCTAAGTTTTCTCTCTCTCTGTATATTGTGGATCTCTGTCTTTTTTTCCCCATTTACTGCAGGAGGAAGCTTCTCTGTGGTGCTGAGGAAGACACTGATCTATGAGTATAACAGAATGCCATTGGGGTTCATTTTATTGCTACCTTCCTTTATCAGAACAGTAGTACTTGATTGTCCTTCAGGTCCATGGCCTAATTAGTCTCATGTTCTTGGCCACTCAAGCTGCATCTACCTCGTGGAGTGGGTCATAAATCCAATCAAATAGTGGTTGGTTACTCCTACAACTTTGGTTCCACTGTTCCACCAGTGCATCTTGCAAGAATGTCAGTACTATAAATAGAAGGCTTTGTAGCTGGATTGGTGTTTACCTTTTTCCTTTGGTAGTATGCAAAGAACCTTCCAATATGATGAACACTAGTCAGTAGAGGTCAAGGCTCTAGGTATATACCATCTCAACTTCTCTGTATTCAGTAAATTATGTAGGTGTTGTGCTCAGAAATAGTATCTTACCATCAGTTTGTAAGTATCCTTGGCAATCGCCTCAGCTGTTTGGGGCTTTGATGGAGTAAGTACCTTTGACCAACAACTCAATTAGATGCAACCCATCCCCAGAGGCTTCCTTTGGTGGCCAGAAATGTCTAGTTGGGTCCCTGTCTCCCATATTATTTGGTGACTCCACTTAGATTTCTTTTATATATGTATACATTTTAAGAAGCTTCTTCTGTAGTAGGTTTCCATACGGCCCCTCAAATGGTCCTTAGTGTTAGCTGTCCATCTCAGTATTCTCTCCTTCTTTCCTCCTCCTCTGTTTAATCTTCCCATTCCAGCTTGTCCCCATATCCATTCATAAGTATATACTCTATTTTCTTTTCTTCTAGAGACTGTTCCCTCCCCCAAATCCTTACTCTATACCTAACCTCTGTGCTATAACAATTGTAGCCTGTTTATTGAAGACTTAACAGCTAACACCACATATAAGCAAATACATACCATACTTGCCTTTTGGGGTTTGAATTACTTCACTCAGGATCATTTTTTTTTCTAGCTCTGTCCACTTACCTGTGAATTTCATTGTTTTTTTGAAAAAAAAAAAAACAGCCAATTGATAATCCATTGTATAAATGCACGTTTTCTTTATCCATTCATCTTTTGATGGATATCGAGGTGGTTTCCAATTTCTGGCTATTATGAATTGAGCAGCATTGAACATGGATAAGGAGGTGTCTCTATAGTAGGATCTGGAGTCTTTTGGGTTCATGCCCAAAGCCGGATCTTTTCATTGATCTACTATAAGCTTTTAGAAATCATCTTGGACTGGCAGCTGGGGAGTCTGCATGGGACCACACTAGGCCCTCTGAATGAGGGTGACATTTGTATGGCTTGATCTGTTTGTGGGACCAGGACTCATCCTGGGTACATGAACTGACTTTTTTCAAGTCCATTCCCTATGGTGCCATTCCTTACTCAGCCTTGATGCAGTGGGGAATGGAGCTTGAGCCTGCCCCAACTTGGTATGCCAGACTGTGTTGAATACCCAAAGGAGGCCTTACACTCTATGAAGAGTGATGGGAGTAAGATGGGGGAAGGTGGGTGGAGCAGGAGAAAGGGAGGGAGGGAGGAGGAACAGTAAGTGATATGTAAAATGAAAATAAATAAATAAATAAGTACTTTTTTTTGTTTTTGTTTTTGTTTTTGTTTTTGGTTTTTTTTTTTTGGTTTTTCGAGACAGGGTTTCTCTGTGTAGCTTTGCGCCTGTCCTGGAACTCACTTGGTAGCCCAGGCTGGCCTCAAACTCACAGAGATCTGCCTGGCTCTGCCTCCCGAGTGCTGGGATTAAAGGTGTGCGCCACCACCGCCCGGCCAAATAAGTACATTTAAATAAATAAGTAAACCTTAAAAAAAATCATCTTTCCTTGAATACCTGAAAGTTTATTGTTCTCTTTCAAGGTTTATAAATGAAATGATAATATGACTGTTCCAAGGTATGGTTGAAGAGAAGGATTATATTGTAGATAAGGGAGAGCAGAGCTAGAAGCATCTGGAAAGTCTAGACTGAACTATTCCTGAGAGAAGAGAGGAAGAGAAGAGAGAGGGACAAGATGGGGGAAGGAGAAACAAGGAAGCCTGTAGTCAAAAATGGCAGTGTTTCTAGGAATCAGATGCAAGGGAAGGGTAGAGACACTTGTGGGCTGGAGAAATTTAGGGTAGGGGGCAGGGGCGAGGGGCAGAGAGAAGCCTAGAGGCCAGCATGTGCTTTCATGTGATACTAGGCACCTCAGCCATTTGTCCTGAGTTTCTTTAAAACTCCTCTGTTGGGATTAATATTTTCTGTAAGACAAATTGCTAAACTGTCTTATTAATAAAAAAAACCCAGAGCCAGATATTGGGGTGAAAACTGAGAGATCAGAGGAATAGAACAGGCCACAGTCAACCTCACCTTACCAACTCCTCAGCCTCCAGAGAGAGCTACTTCCTGTATACTTATGCCTATATGCCTTTCTGTGCTCTGCCATCTTACTTCCTCTTTCTGCCCAGCTCTACCACTGTCTGTCTGTCCAGACCTCCAAACCTGTATGGTTAACTAGCACTGGGATTAAAAGCATGTGTCACCACACCCGGCTTTGTTCCCAATGTACCCTTGAACTAAGAGATCCAGGTAGATCTCTGCCTCCCAAATGCTAGGATTAAAGGTGTGTGCTTCCACTGCCTGACTTCTGTGTTTAATATAGTGGCTGGCTTTTTCCTCTGATCCCCAGAGAAGCTTTATTGGGATGTACAAATAAAATGTCACCACAATTTTCTATTGTGATTTTCTGCCTTAAAGATCACATTGAAGGTGTTGGATTTGTTTTTGTAATGATAACTAGACTGGGGATCTTTCAAGACTGTTTTACATCAGGTGTTACAGCAGTGCAAAGATACTCTCAGGGTTTTCTTCCCTCACTGCAAAGAAAGATGCAGTTGCCTCTAGGCAGATGTGTTTTGGTAAACTCAGTAGGGTAAGTATATTCTTTCTAACCTTGTCAGACTTTAGCTTACTATCCCAAAACTTCAGAAATGAGTTAAACAGGTCATAATAGCTTTTCAATTATTGACTGTACTCCTTCACTACATTAGTGGATATGTGTGTGTAAATAAATGTAAAATATATACTTATAAATATATGTGATTATAAATATATATATATATTTATATTTAGCACAAAAGAAAGATTTGGGAGCTGGGGATATAGCTATGGAAGAGTGCTTGCTTAGTATGTATGAAACCCTGGTACAACCCCTAGGACAGCAAAACAAAATGAAAGAGAATTTAACTTTGGAAGATTTCAGATTTTACTGGTTATTTATCTTAAAAATACAAAAAGAAAACAAGTATCAGTATATAGTCATCAATCAGTACATGAAACCAAACTGCTATCAAGTTAAACCAAAATAAAAATCTTCATTGATAATTTGAAGAAAGAACCAGCTAAGGTGGTGAATGGAGCTTCTGTCTTAATGCACAACATAAAAAAGATAGTCAAAGATATTTGGTTACATTACAGCTTATTTGCATAAAGGACTTCTGTTTTATTAACTTGGAAATTTTACATGCAAAACTGATAATCAGAAATATAAGAATGTCTAGTTATATTAAAATGCTGACAATATTTAGATTAAAAAATAGAAGAAATTTCTATAGCAAGATGTTTTTTAAATCTCTAATGAAATGAGTTCCTGAAGAAGCCCAGAGACTGGAAAGGCATAAAGGACCAGACACTAAAGCCTTTTCAGAGTCCTACCTTGATGAACACATATGCAGTTGAATTAAACACACAGAGGCTTATATTACTTGCAAACTGTATGGTCTATGGCAGGCATCTTGCTAGCTAACTCTTATATCTTAACCCATTTCTATTAATCTATGTTTTGCCACATGTTCTGTGGCTTTACCCGTTTGTTGGCATGTTGCTTCTCCTTCCATGGCAGCTGACATCTCTCCCCACCTTCTTCCTGTCTCTCTGTTTAGGTTTCCTGCCTACCTCTAAGCTGCCTTGCCATAGGCCAAATGGTTTTATTTATCAACCAATCAGAGCAACACATATTCACAGCATACAGAAAGACATTACCTATTACACATAGATTTAACAATAGCTCTATCTGAAGCCTTCTATCTGAGCTTCATAAGAATGTGTCTCTGAATTCAAACTTCCTGAGTTCAAGTCCTGATTTGAACACTTATGCCTAACCCTTAGGAAAGTTATTTAGCTTCTCTGGTCCCCCAACTTTCTTTCTAAAACTGGTATAATAATAATGCAAATTTCACCAGATTATTGTGAACAACTTAGTCCAAATGAAGAAATTAGAATTAGTACCTGGAATTCTAGAATTGCTCACTCAAGATTTGCTTCTATAACGGCTTTAAGTATTATATATTTAAAGTTATTTATTGCTACATAGCAAGACACTCATCTGCTCTCTAGAGCTTGATGGTTCACACTCCCTCCTGGCTGTCAGAAGGCCAGTTGCCATGCTATGAGGACACCTAATCAGCCTTTAGACTGTCCTTGTGATGTGCCATGGAAGCCTTCTACCAATAGCCAGCAAGGAACCCAGACCTGCTGAGATCACATGTGTGAGCATGGAAGTGCTCCAGCCAGAGAGTCAAAGCTTGTAATGAAAATAGCTCCACCGGATAGCATGGCTATAATCCCTCTACTAGGTCCACAGCTTCCACCAAAATAGAGCTAGACTAAAAAATGAAGTTTCTTCCTTAACAATGACATTGAAAGTCAAAGATAGATCTCTGCATAGACACATACCTAGGAAGTCCAAGCCCTCTGTGACTAGAGCTATTCATGCAGTCATGGTATCCTGAGCTTTGCTGAGGAACAGGAAAGTGAAGCACATTCAGATATGTCCCTAAGCCTGGGATTCTATGTCTTTTTCCTTGATGTAGTCAATTTTTTTAATTGAAACTATTTTTTTCATGTAATATATTCTGGTCATAGTATCCTATGGTCAATTTTAAGCATAATTAGAGCCTAAGGTCATAAGGATCTGACTTTTGTGTCCATCCAAGTTTTGAAAACAATAGATGACATTTTTTTTTTATGATTTGGTCAGTAATTAAAACTGTTGTTTTGTTTGGGTATATTTTACCTCCTGTTATTTTGTTTGTATATTATGGCTTGCAGTTTTGTATTTTTATAGATCATGTCTGTGAGTGAATGTGTGTGGTATGTATTTCTACTGCTTTTTTTTAGTATTGCTTGTTTTAATAATTGTTTGCTTTCCTTATTTGTCTGTCTGTTTTCTAATAAGAGACAGTAGGCACAAAGATGGATAGTCTGTTTTCTAATAAGAGACAGTAGGCACGAAGAGGGATAGGTGGGGAAGTGAGGAGGGTCTGAGACAAGATGAGGGTGATCAGAATATATTGCATGAAAAAATTTTATTTTCAATAAAAAACACTGTTGTTAAACTAAACAAGCATTTATGTATGTGTCTATGCTTTTATAGTTGAATATGTTTATATAATTTTGAGATCAAATTCTTTGGTTTTTGTCTTGCTATCCTCTTCTGTTACCTGACTGTAGGCAGTTCTCTCTTGTTTTGTTGTCTATTTAAAGGTTTAGGACAGTAGTTTTCAACCTTCTTAATACTGTGACCCTTTAATACAGTTCCTCAGGTTGTGGGAACCCCCCAACCATAAATTTATTTTCATTGCTCCCTCATAAATGTAATTTTGCTACAGCTATCAATCATAATGTAAATATCTGATATTTCTGATGGTCTTAGGTGACCCCTGTGAAAGGATCATTTAACTGGGGGGGGGGGGGGGGTCATGACCCACAGGTTGAGAACCACTGGTGTAGGCTAACTACTGAGTGTGATTCCATCTCATAAGAAAAATGTGCCCTTGCTTTAGGCAGAGAAATCCACAAAAAAGGAGGATCAAATTACCCAAGATAAAAAAGGGAGAGTGAAAACACAAAATAATGACATTACACACTAGCCAGGGCAGCAAGCCCTAACTCCATCTGGCACTCCCTGGGAACCCACAGGCCACTCTGATCAGGGAGACATAAAGGCTAACTGCAGATCTTCACCTGTCAGTCTAGTCTTCCAAGTCCAACCCCCTAGTTTCATCCCCAGCTCTTGAGAAGAACATCTGGTGCAGCCTCCCCACCCCCATCTCCAGTGGAATACAGATCTCCACCTCCGAAACTCCCTCCTCACTGTGTGTGCAGTCAGGAAGGTGAGAGAAAAGGGCTGATGCTCACCTTGCTTTTCTTTTTTTATCCTTCCTGTGACTGTACCCTACCAATGGTTCTGCTCAGTTCAAGCTCAGGATTTTCCTCTGTAGTGAAATCCTTCTGGCAATACACTCATAGACACACCCATAGTTGTGTTCTTGTGATGATTCTAAATCTAATCAAGTTGACACTGAATATTAACCATCTAAGACCTTAATATCTTTCTTAAATCAATAGACCCATCATCCAGAGCAAAAAACAAAAACAAAAAAAAGAAGCATCTGATTTAAGAAAAGTTTTAACTCATTTATAGAACAATTTTTTTCCCTACAGCTACAGAAAAAAGAACATTTTTTGCATGTGTATGTGTGTAGTGTGTATATGTGAGCTTGCATGAGTTTGGAAGTGCATGTAAGTGGTTGCATGTGCACATATGTTTGTGTACATGTAAATGTGGGGGGTAGATTTTGTCTTAGGATGTTGTCTTAGTTAGGGTTTCCAATTGCTCTGAAGAGACATTATGACAACAGCAATGTTGATAAAGTAAAACATTTATTTGGACAGCTCACTTACAGCTCAGAGATTCAGGCCATTATCATCACGGTGGGGAGCATGGTGGTGTGCAGGCCAACACAGTGCTGAGAAAGTAGCACTCCTAATAGTGTCCCTCCCTTTGGGGGCCATTTTCTTTCAAAATACCACAGATGTCTTCCTCAATCATGCTCTATCTTTTTCACCAAGGTAGGGGTGCTTGCTGAACTCATTAATTAGCTCATTAATTAGGCTAGTCTAGCTAGCCAGCTTGCCCCCACGGATCACCTGTCCCTGCTTCCTATGAGCTGGGATTACGAGCAAGCTGTCATACACACCTAGTTTTTATGTAGGTTTTGGAGATCCAAACTATGGCTTGCATGCCTGCATGTCAAGTGTTTTATCCACTGAACCATCTCTCCAAGGTCTTACTATTTTGCCCAGTCTGGCCTTGAACTCATAATCCCCTATTTTTACTCTTCTAGTGATAAGATTAGAAAAGCATACCCTTATACTTAACCACACATTCCTTTTTCCTTCAATAAATGGATAACACTATAGCATAGACCTTACGAGGTCACAAACAACTTTTAGACACCCAGAAGTACTGAAATAAGATCATGTACCTCTCTGACCATTATGAAATCAAACTTGAATTTAAGAATAATCATTGCAACAGCAAAATCTTCAGAGTCAGAAGCAAGCAGATCTCTGTAAACTCAAGGTCAGCTTGATCTGTATAGTGAGTTCCATACTATCATCTAGGATTACATAGACAGACCCTATCTCAAAAAAAAAAAAAAAACGCTACAGAAAATAAGCAAATTCATGGATATTTATCAAAATGCTACTGAACAAATAATGGGAAATGGAGAAAATATACAAATTTATGGACATTAATGGGACTGGATATGAAACAGCCTGAATCTCAGGAGACACAGTAAGAGTAGCAGCAAGAGGGAAGTTTGTGGTAACTCTCCTTCACTACAAAATCAGGAAGGTTTCATAAACAACTTAACAGTATATCTCAAGGGTCTAGAAAAGCAAGAGCAACCCAAACACAGAACTGAAGACAGAGAGGAGAGGTGGTGGAGAATAACTAAGAAGGAAGTATATATGGAAAATGCAAGACTGGGGAGGAGGATCGTTGGGTAAAGGAGCTTTCTGCTCCAGCATGAGAACCTTAGTTGACATGCCCAGAACCCACAGCACAGCTGAAAACAGTAATGTGAACTTTTAATCCTATTTCTACTATGCCAGTAATGGGAGGTGAAGACAGCAAAATTTCCAGGAGCTTGATGACGACCATCTTGTGAGGTAGACAGAGAAGAGAACAATAAAGAGACTTTTCTTAAACAAGATAGAAGGCAGGACTGTCACCTAAGGTAGCCATCTGATTTCTCTCTCTCTCTCTCTCTCTCTCTCTCTCTCTCTCTCTCTCTCTCTCTCTGTCTCTCTCTGTCTCTCTCTCTCTGTCTCTCTCTCTCTCTCTCTCACACACACACACACACACACACACTGTGCATGCATGTGTTTGCATTCACACATGAATACTTGTACATGGACAAGCATACATGTACATATACAAATACACACTGTGTACACACACACACACACTAACACACAAAAAGAAAATGAATACTAAAGAACAATATAAGCAATTAATGAATCAAAGAATTGGTGTTGTAAAATGTTAAAATAAGAAAAAAGTGTCCACTATATTAAAAAACCATTGAGACAATGCCCAAATAAATAAAATTAGAAACAGTCAGAAGGAAAAGAGTGTGTGCAGAACTATTATAGGATGAAAGGAATTTTCCCAATACATCAAAGCTAAAACCCAGTAGCCTACAAATATAACTGTATTTGGCACTAAGTCTTTAGAGATACAGTAATTAAGATGATCTGAGTCCATGGAATGTGACTCCATCCATCATGCAAAGAGGGGACATACACAGAGATAGGTAAAGGAAGGAGCCCATGTGAAGACAGAGGGAAAGATGCTACCTACAAGGCAGAGAGAGGAGCCTAAGAAGAGAACAGCTCATCAAACATCTTCTGTCTGGGATTCTAGACTCAAGAATTGTGAGGACATGTTTGAGCATTGTTTTTAGCCATTCAGTCTATAGTACGTTACTATGGCAACCCTGGCAAGACAGGCACCATTAAGAACACCTGGTACCTCTTAAGGAGGTGGAAGTAGGTGGTAAGACTCATTATGTGCAGGGAAGGTGCAGGACAGAGGACACGGTGAAGAACCACACTGAGGGAGGGTGGAGCTGAGCAGCTCTAGGGACAAAGAATCATTGCCCACATCTACCACTTATGTCTCAGACTTCTCAGACTTCACAGCCTCAGTGGGTGAGCATAGAGTGCTGAGGATGAGTTTAGGCAGCCCCATCAGCTGCTTCTGAGACAGCTCTGCTTCTGAAGGGGCTCAGAATTGGAGGGATTTAAATATAATTCTTCTGAAAAGAATTTTGTCAAATGAGGCATTAAAATTTCATTGCTGTTTGAAGTATAATCTGGTTAGACACTTCTGGCTACCTCTGCAGCTGATGGACCTGTGGAGCCAGTGCTCATAGGAGTCACAGACAGTGCCCTCACCTCCCCTTCTGTGGCAGTGCCTGTATTTTTCTGGAGTTGCTGGATTCTATAGGCAGGGCAGACCCACAGGCAAGGAGGAATGAATTCTACTGAGACATAGTCACCTGTAGCATTAGGAGTGTCAGCAGCAGGAGACCGTGAGGAGTCTCAGGGCAGGAGTCAGGGTCAGACAACATGAGATCTAAGAAAGTCTGCTCTGAGGAGAAGAGATACCTTTGTTCTCTCTGCACACAATGACTTAGTGTGAGATGGGAACCATGTCTATTATTTAGAAATAGAAATAATGTGGTTCAGGCAGCTATATGGGGGCAGCTGTTCAAGGTGCATTTTCAGAAAGACTCATAAACCTAGCAGAAATAATCCTTTTCTGAAGCTTACACAGTATCCACTTAGTCCCTAAGGGCATCTTGAGGCTGTGGTGCCTCACTAGCTGGTAACTAGTCCAAGACAAGCTAGGAAACACTGTCTGCCCTACTTCCCCTAACCCCACCCACACTGAGAAAATTTTGAACTGAATGGTGCCAAAAGCCCAGTTCCACATTTCTGGTAGATGTTGTAACTGCCTTTCTGACATGACCACCCCACCCAAGTGCCTTCTCAGTGGTTTAGCTTTTCACTATACTTGAACACAGTCCCATCTATGAGCTGGCAGGTCATTACCCCTCACCTAAGGTCTATTTAAACTCCCTGCCTTCACCCTGGTGCTCAACTTCTCTGTCCCCATTATTTGGAATCTACAAGCCCACCCAGGAGCAATGCCCATAAACTTGTATTTATCTGCTTTTAGTCTGGTCTGATCTGGCCTTTTGCATCAGCAGAAACATATCAGCTACCTTTGATAATGAACTGTAATTTAGAAGGGTAAGCCAAATAAACTCCCTATGTCCCACCCCAAGCTGCTTTTGGTCATGATGTTCTTGTAATGACATTTCATTTACCTCTCTGCTTCAAAATGTTAAAACCCATTTGTCAATTCTAGTGCAGCTGAGTTAAGAAATTTTACCTATTGCTCTAGTTTCATATCTATTGCCATGATAAAATATACTGATAAAAGCAACTTAGCAGAGAAAGGCCTAATTCTGTCTCTTTATTCCAAATTGCAGTCCTTCACTGATAGGAAGTCAAAGTGGCAGGCATTTGAAAGTTTGTCATCGTACATCGCAGTCCAATGCAGAGAGAGAATGAATGCATGTCTGCACACCTCAACCTACTTTCTATGTTCTTCATAAACATTCTAGGGCCCAAGCATGGGATGGAGAACCTCACAGTGGAATGGATCTTCCTACATCAACTAATGTAATCAAGGAGATCTTCCGCAATCACGCCTACAATACACCTGATCTAGAAAACCCCCCTTTGAGTCTCCCTTCAGGTGATATTAGATTGTGTCACATTCTGAGTGGTGTAATGAGAGACCCAGAAAGACAAACATGGTGTGTACTCACTTATAAGTGGATATTAGGTATAAAGTAAAGGATAACCATGCTACAATCCACAGATCTAGAGAAACTAAGTAACACGGAGGGCTCAAGAGGGAAAACTTGGGTCTCCCTTGGAGACTGGGTTACATTGTCAACTCTTAATATGAAGGGAGGCACTTAGTCTTCCTGCAATGTGTTATGCCATGTTTTGTTGATATCACAGGAGGATTGCATATTTCTAAACAGAAATTGAGGAGAAGTGGATGGGGGTGGAGCAGAGGGGAGGTTGGGTGATTAGGGACTGGGAGAAGAGGAAGGAGGGGAAACTGCAGGTCTGGATGTAAAAATAAATAATACAAATAAAGAAAAGAAAAAGGACATAAAAAATAATCTTAAGTGATGTATCTCAGACCAAGAAAGAAAATGTGGTATATATTCACTTATATGAGAGTGCTAGGTATTAAGTCAATGATACCAAGCTACAATAAAACCACAGAGGGTAGGTATAGAGTTAGGTACTAGAGGGAACAGATAGATCTCATTAGGAAAATTAAGTAGAATAGATAGATCTGGATGAAATGGGAGCTGGAAATGGAGTATCAGGTGATGTTGGGTATAGAAGAGGAACTTAGGGATGAAATACAGGAACAGGCAGATAAAATTAAGGGGAATTCAAGAGGTACTACAGAAACCTAATACTGTATAAATTTCCTAAAATATATACATATATGAAGGTGATCTAAATGAAATTGCCAAATAATGGGGCAAATAGAGTCCCAACTAGTCATTTCCTGTCACCACATGATGCTTCCAGTATTGGGTTTGGGTTACATCTAATTGAGTTGCTATTCAAAGCGGCACCAAGGGAATCCCCCAAATGATCCAGGTTGTTACCAAGACTATAGGTTGCTCTCCACATACCAACTGTAAGGCTTCATTGCTAATAACAATACCTACACAATCAGTGAAAAGGGATATGTCAACATAGAGCCTTTATTTCTGTGTTTCAGTGTCTTTGTTACAGGGAGATACTCTATATGGTATCAAAAAAAGAAATATAACACCAAGCCAGTCACACACCCTTTTTGGGTGTACTACCTTTAAGACATGCTAGGCAATAGTGGCACAAAGTTTATGGAATAATCAATCAATAACTGATTTGACTCAAGGCCCACTTCAGGAAATGGAACCCGTACTGGACACTGCTTGAGTGACCAAGAATTTGAGACTAGTTTTCCCAGGGACCTATGGTAAGACCAAATCTACAACTCTAACAAGGAAATGCAAACAGGACAGATAAAATTGATCTTTTTATCTTTAAATCAGCACCAAATAAGCACTCAAGAAATATAAAGAGAACACTTTTTTAAAATTTGAAATCATTAACTTTGATTTTAAGGAGACTAGAAATTCAATAGAAAATGGAAGCTCTAGAGAATAAGCAGAAAAATGGAAAATACATCATCTGTATATGGAATTGCACAAACTGAGACTTAAATTTTTGCATCAAAGCAGGGCTTTGGTCATATGCAACAATTATTTCCTTATTTTAAAGCCAAGCCTTTTTTGGGTACTTTTATTTACATTATTTCAGTTTTGAAAGTTACCATTATTAAATTTTTTTATTTGAAATTTGTTTTTAAAATGAGGATGTCTGTTTATCAGATATATCAGGGATGCAAATATTAAACAGTAATTGCAGATAGCAGGTCAGCTTCTCAAACCAAACCAACTTCACTTTAAAGTGTATCAATGGCACGTAAAACAGCAGTCCACTGAGAAGGAAGAGGAGCACATAGATGTAATGCATCTTTGGAGACTTGACAAGGGGAATCAAGACCAAGCACAGGCTGATGGCCATTGCTATGACTGTGAATGGCAAAAACACCTACAAAGATAAAATTTAATAAAGTAATTAGATGTGAAAATCCATGTGTGGTAGCTACATATCTACAAGCAAAAATACTATGCTAATGATAAAATCAGACCAAATAAGATACTTTGTTAGGCAGATATGCTAGGCACTCAGATAAACGCCCCAAAAAGAAAAGTGTTGGAGACTCCTGTTGGTGAAGGTGTGGTTTGAGAGAATGAACTTCTATTTTGAGTCTTCATGAATGGAAATAGTCATAAACATTTGCTGAAGAGATGACCACTGTGGGCATAGATGGCATGGCTTATTCAGAAGTTTTTAGAACACAGTGAAGATCCCAACAATCTTCCAAGGAAGATTTCTTCTAGGATTAAAGAACCATCCCCTCTCCTATAAACTATTTCCTCATCTAGGATGAAAGTTCATAAGTAGAAAAGTTGAAGAGATAGAATTTGTTGTTAAGCAAGAAGTGTTGGAATTTCAGAATAGCATCTATTTCTCATTTGTTAAATCTGCTCCTGACTGTAGAGGATAATGGCATGCACAGATAGGAACATAACTAAACAAAGAAATACCATGACAAAAGACTCATAATGCCCTGTCCTTTACCTAAAGAACTACCTTTATCTTACCTGAATCCTTCAGTGGAACTTTAGAGGTTTTCTGTTGGGTAAAACCAATGAACCAAAATTTAAAATAAAAATAAAGACCAGATTGTCATTATTTGCTTCTCAAGTTGCTGAGTGATAACCTATATACTCCTGCATCTTTTGAATATATTCTTTCAATACAGTTAAGTATCTTGCTTCACATAGAACAAATTTACCCAGCCCATTTTTACCTTATAAGGTCTGTGTAGATTGGGCTCCTGGTACCTCAATTTCAGGATTCCTATCATGGATAACATAGTCCAAATTGAATCCATAAAATAAAGATAGTTGATCAGTTCAATTAAGTTTGTTAAGACGATTGCAATGGATCCCATACTGACATTTAGAAGCACAGCTATGAAGGGGGATGAGTGAACATTAAGGGTACTAAACATCAAGGGCAGCTGGCCTTGGTCGCTTGCAATATATGACACTCTTGATGACTCAAGTACATTAATCACAAGGTTGCTAAACAGTGAGGCAGAAATAGCAAAGGGAACAGTCCATGTTAATTGTGGAAAAACTCTGTCAGTCCATATAATAGCCACAGCATCTGCAGAGAAAAAATACACAAAAGCAAGTGTGTTGAGAAAGAAAATCTAATGATAAAGCAATAATATTTTACAAAGAAAAAAATCTAAGAAGAGATTTTAACTTTGTTATTTCCTTTTTCACATTTAAGTCATAACTTAGGTTTATGTACATTTTAGTTCATCATACTGCACAATGAATGGTTCTTTTTAATGTCTTCCCCCAAAGACCAGGAACTTCTTGAAGACAAAGATCCCTCCTATCTTGTATATAGCATGATTAACTCATTCACTGACAGGCACAATATAGTTAATTTTTAGTCACTACTTAAGAAATGTGTTAATTGTGTTGAGGGAATAATTGAAGGCATGCTTATTGTCTAAAACTAGCATATAGAAAGCTGACAAACTCCTCCAGAGTCAGAAAAGGACAGCAGAACACGGTTTACAGAGAAATGAGACTCATCCAACTACAGTGCAATATTGAGAGCTGCTGGCAGCAAAAGTCCATGGAGTATACAGCAGTGACAACTAAAGTTCAGAAGGTTAACCTATGGGAACTAAAGGCTCTGTTAGAGGAAACCATCATGCAAGGCATTATGGAATTACTGCCTTTTGAATGAACTGACTGTTTCCTGATGTAAACTTCTTGTGCAATAACAGCTATGAGTCTCCCCATTTACTGTTCATTTCCATGTTAATGTGTACATGCAATCTCACGATTGCATCTCAATCTTGGACACAACTTTCCCTATACATTTGGGGTAAATGGATAACTGCCCCCAGCTTTGTTTATTTTTCATTAACATAAATCTGGCCAGGGCCATTCTCTGGACAAAAGTATTTCAGCAAAGATACTTTTTTTCAAGGACAAAACTGCACATAGATAAACATTAGCTCATCTCACCCACAGATAAAGAAAAGAACCACTAGCAATTAAATCTTCAACTCCTTACCTTCACCCCAGGTTATTTACACAACACCCTAAATTAAGAGATTTACTGCTCACATTCCTGGGATGATGTTTTAGTCACTTGCTAGTTACTGAGTTAAAGTAGTACTTTCCACTGACTGAAGGGGATTGCCATCAAGGCCAGGGTGCCAAGCTTCTTTCTTGTGCAAACTAAGTTTTAATTCCTCCTCAGCCAGGTGCTATTCCTAGATTTTTCTCCTCAGCAATTACTCTGAATGAAGGTGCTTTTACTAACCAAATGCTACATGCTCTTACATAGGTTGCTTAGCCACCGAGCATGTGTCCCCTTCCTTATGAGAAAGCAGCTGCAGCCAGGATGAGTGGGGGTGGAAGGGTTGGGTGAATGAGGGTAGAAGCGGCACCAAAGACAGTTTTCTTTCTAGTGACTTACTGACCCCAACCTTCTACCTAGCCATTTCCAGATTATAGTTTGAGCACATAAATTCCCTGATTGACCTTAGTCTTTAGTTGGCCCTACCAGAGAACTCCCCTTTAGTCACTCCCCTTTGGGGTTGCAATTGGAAGCTGACAATTATTGCTTATCACCTCTCTCTCTGCAACTCTGAAAACTTCAAACCTCATGTTGCTTTGCCAAAGAATTACTGCTTGTGTATATATACTGGTTCCCTCACAGCACTTGGGGAATTGACTGAGAAGAATAAGATGAGGATGAAGATGGAAACAACTGGATAGACATGAGAACAGCTGAAGGGACTGAGAGCAGAAGGGACTGAGAAGAGCTAACTATGAGAACAGAAAAGAAACTGTGTAGATAGAACTGACTTAGAAGAATAAAGTAAATGAACTAAAGAGCTCAGTGTGCTTAGATTCATTGAATATCCCTCAGATTAGTATCCTTAGCTGCTTGTAGCATCTGTTCTGGACCCTGGTAGAAATCTCCTCAAGGCGGGCACTTGGGAGGAATTCGTTAGTGCAACGTAAAGTACATAGAAGATGAACATAGACATTACAAATAGTTAAAATACTTATAACTTCTGAAGCTTGTCTAAGCTTCTGGTCAGTGGTTCTCAGCTAAAGGTGACTTTGCTCCTCAGGAGTCATGTGACAATGTCTGGTGAGTTGTCTGATGTTCCATAAATTAGGTAGCAGTTTACTGTTGGCATCCTAGTGAGTAGCAGTCATGTGTTCTGGTGATATCAGGACAGCTTCAAAGAATTAGCTCAATGTCAGAATACTTGTCATCTGTGAGGCTCTGTGTTCAATACCCAGAACCCCAAAACAAAATTCACACACTCCAAATTGTTGATGATATTGAAGCTGGGAACTCCTGTAGTGGACCAACTTGTATAGAACATTCTTTTTTATTTCCTTTGTTGCTTCAAGGTGAAGGGATATTATGAACATTGGTTTAACCATGTCAGGTAGTACAAAAACCACCAATATCCATCATCTGTGGGAATTCGCTTGAGGCAAATTTGTATTATGTAGATACGTGTTGCTGGGCAGAAGATTCTAACAGAGTGACAACTCTTCAGGTTTCAAGAGAATGAGCAGAGCAGAGCCTAATGTCCTTGGGAGGTAGGTGTCCTTTGAGTCATCATTTTATGCATAGGTAGTTGGTTTCTAGGAAGTCCCTAGGACTTCAGTTTACTGAGCTGTAACAAGCCATAAGATTTTCAAATGTTTTTCATTTAGAATAGGGTCTTCTATGTAATTCAAACTGCCTGAGAACTTGCTGTGTAGCTCAGGTTAGCCTCAAACTCATGATCCTCATGTCTCAGTTTCCTAAGTTCTGGAATTATAGACACATATCACCATGCCCAGCTATTAACCCATTTTAAAAAGACCTGAGTGTCACATCGCTTTTCTCTTGAATCTCCCACAATTTGGGGTGTTACTTAAAAGAATCTCATGCTGCAGCTCTAATTAATTTCAAGTAATGTCTTGTTGTTGCTCCCCCAAACACTCACATTGCACACTTTCAGGTAGAGTTAGAAATGATTTCCCTACACTGCAATGGAAATCTCCCTTGATTTCTTGGTGGGTGTTCCACAGTGTGATTTAAGACAACCAGAGACAGGCCATGTGTAGCTCTGACAGCATTGAGTGGAAAAAGTTATTCACAATACTCCTCCCTTCATCTTAACTCTATTCAACAAATGATTGTTTTCGTTGTTTTATTCATTTCCATATTTATTTCATTTAAAAACTACTTCATACGTGTCTTTGGTAAAATGAACATTGAATTTGCTTTTGTTCACTTTCTAACATACTTTGATTATATGCACATACACATCCATATAAGTGTTTTAGATAAGTCTGTTCTTTAAACATAAATCATGTACTCATTCTGTATTGATAGATTTATATAACTTTTTTTTAGTTTTTTGGCAGATAGACAATGTGCTTTAAAGCTGCACTTGGTGGAACACACCTGTAATGCTAGAACTTGGACAGCAGGGGGCAGAAGGAGCTTATTGCAGGCAACCCAGGGCATATAGCAAGCCAAAAAAGTATCCAAAAAAGGAAAAGGAAGAAATAAATGACTTACTGAAAAATCATCGAAAGTAAAATAATTCAGACATGATACCCCTGGGAATGACAGCATTTAAATATTTGACTTAACCCCTCACATGTTCAGTTCTAAATAGTTCTATAATTACCCACTGAGGTATTAGAGGTGGGACTTGTGAGTGTATACATTCTTCAATGAGAGAAATTTTACAAAGTTACCCTCCAACAAATGAATGTATCTATCTATCTATCAGAAACTAATTCTAAAATCTCCACTTACATATCCAACCCCTTAAACACACCTAGCACTTGAGACAAGCTTCCTACCAGCTGTGCCTGAACAAGGAAGCCTTAGCTTCTGTCTCCACATAACCTCTTTATGTTTCACACTGTCTTGCCATAGGTTAATATCCCCTAGTTTTAGCATGGCTTAGAAGGCTCTAGAACACTGTGTGAACACTCTGTCAGCAGGATTTCTGGAACACTTTTGTCCTTAGGATAAAAATGGTGGACCCAGGAATCCTTACAATGCTATGTCCACATCCCTCATTCTAATGGGACATCCTTCTTCATAGAACTTTTCACAATGTAAGTTTCATTTTTTCCCTTAAGGGAATAATAAGTAAGGAAACAGGTCAGAGATCTGACACTAAGACTTGAACACCTCACACAGGAACTAATAGAGCAGATTGTCATAATTTCATCCACTGTGCCTTGAATAAAATGTAACATCCAATTTACACTGTGTTATAAATATCCCACATTTCCTTTACAAAACTGTGAGGTCCTTTTGTTTTGCTCAAGTGACAAAATCTGCCCCCAACCCTTTGAACTCATAACTTAAAGTGCTTATTTATTTTGTTGATAACTTTCCACACTAGTCATATAAGTCATGAACCTACTTAAATTTAGTATTAATAATAAATAACAAATCACCCACAGTCCCATCCCAGCTGACCACTGTTGTTCACAAGTTCCTATTTCATGAGAATCTAGAGCCTGCCATTTCCGTTATTCATACATTATAACCATTGTCCTCTTAGTATCCACCAACAACATCACCTTTTCAAGGCTCTGAGTGCTCTGTTATACAGATTTACTTACGTCATTTACTGGAAACTAGTGGTTATTTTGGTGATATTTACTTTTGTCCTGCCATAACTGATGATACAGTGACTTTCCATAAATCTACATTTTTACATATGGTTCTGAATTTTTTTAATTTAAATTCCTAATATAATAAATGAATAGGTATTAAAATTTACATATAATAATTTGGAGTTTACATTAAGTCTGTGGATTAGAAGCCCCAAAGAGGAAGCAGTAAAAAACCAAACTACTAGCAACATTAGTCAGAAACTTCCCAAGTTTCCCACACAATCCCGAACTATTGTGCTAACTACACAATGACTTCAATCATTACAACATGCCAGAGAAAGCTTTCTAATTCGGAAATGATCAATATGTCAAGAACACTGTCAGGCATAATAAATACCAGCCTCAAGAAATCTCAGCAGCCATTCTCGATGGGCAGTGGCTGTGGTCACACCCACAGCTAAAGTTACAAATGGGCCCTAACGGTCAAAGCAGTTAGTGAGTCACTGTCTAGGTTTATCCAGGGTTACATTTGGTTTGTTCCCACAAAAACTTGGTTTCATTTATGCTCTCATCACTAGGATACCTAGACTGATAACATGTCAACCCTGGAACGACGCACCACAAGACAAAATTCTGGAGAGCAGTCACATTCCACTTGAGGCAATTTGCTGTTGTTAAACCTTTCTTAGGCTTGAATGCTCCACAAATAAATAAATGATTGTGTTTATGGAGATGAGAATAATGATTTTTAGTATTACACATTGAATATAATATAATGAACCACCATATAATGCTACATAAAATGTAGTTTTATGTCAATAAACAGTGTGTTTTCTAAAGCTTCACTTAGATTTACATCCAATGCTTCAGACACTTACCAAAATAAGAATAGTTGCTCAAAATGGGTTAGTTTCAGAACACCTAGTGATAAATTTCACTCAGAAGATGATAACTAGAAGTTGAAAGATGGTATGAGAAAATTGTTGGTATTCAATTTTCCTTGTTTTACTTTTTTTCTAACCCATATTTCATTTTATCCTTTGAAACTGTTGTTCAATTTAGGATTTAGGGTGCTTATTTATCTCATGATAGTCTTTCAATTTGTGAACACATACTTACGTACATACATAAGTCTGTCTATTTACTCAGGCTTGTTTTAAAGTCATTACATCCTGACACAGCTTTGCATATTCTGAATTACAGGTAAGCATCACAATACCTGGTATATTCTTTTTGCTTTCATTCTAAAATTTAGACTGTAAGACAAGAATTTCTAAAGAATTTTCAATATATTCAGGGTCCTTATCCACCACAAAATTTTAGAATTCTTTAAGATAAACATTTTATATATTAATCATAATCATCAATTGACATCCAGTGTTTCTTCACTCAACCAATATCATAAATTTCGAATTTGTCCTTCTTGGTGTTATTCAAATTATTGAAAAGCAAACATTTTGGAAGTTTTTAAAAATCCTACTACTGATTGCATTGTGTCACTCTGTTGAAATCACAAAAGCAATAGCTAATGTTTTGAATCTGATCTAAGACATCTGCCAGCACTATACATACCTTTTCCAGGTTATCAGAAAATGCAAGGCTGTGCTAGATCATGAATCTTTCTTCTAAACCAAATCATATGCTTTTCAACCAGATTAAAAAATGAGTGGATTCAATATAGAACAATCATCAGTATGAATTTGTAATAAATAGCAAAAATGACGCTTAACTGTACTGAAAGGATTGCACTTCATCTATTGTCTTGTCATTTGTATACTAACCTGTTGAGAGGATTTCTCTGGGAGTCAGAACCATCAAGTAGGAAATGTTAGCCAGTAAATATACCACAGTTATCAGAGGCAGTGCTGTAAATATACATCTAGGAATAGTTTTATTGGGTTTCTTCAGTTCTCCTATAATGGATAAAGAGAAACATTAGTCTTTGTTTAAAAATGTGTATCTTAAATTTATCTTTAAAATTGTTCATGTGTTGCCAGGCAGTGGTGGCTCACGCCTTTAATACTAGCACTCAGGAGGCAGAGGCAGGCGGATCTCTATGAGTTCGAGGCCAGCCTGGGCTACAGAGCGAGATCCAGGAAAGGCTCCAAAGCCACATAGAGAAACCCTGTCTCAAAAAAACAAACAAAAAATTGTTCATGTGTCAAACTTTGGACCTTGTTCTTTCTGTCCACTCTATAACCATCTCTCTCTCTCCCCCTTCCCCCCTTCTCTCTCTCTCTCTCTCTCTCTCTCTCTCTCTCTCTCTCTCTCTCTCTCTCTCTCTCTCTCTCACACACACACACACACACACACACACACACACACACACACACACACACACTCAGAGTCAAACTTTTGCACACTGATCCTCTTCTGAAGACACTAGAGTATGGGCTCATGATTCTTGTTCCATTTGTACCCTTCCTTCATCTTCAAGTGGAAAGTAGGCTCTGTGTTCAGAGTGTAGGAACAGAAGGTGAGCAGAAACTTCATGAGATTTAACCTCAGGAAAGGAGCTTTACATGCCCCCCCTTTACTGTCATCTGTTTGAAAGAAATTCTACATTATTCAAGATGCTGTAAGCAGTTCTAGATCTTTTATGGCAGAGAGAGCTACCTAAACATGAAACGTCTCTAGCACAAAAACAACAACGTGAAACTGGGTTCAAGTAGAAGCTGGAGATATAACCTCTTTTGAGACAGTGGAGAAGAGAGGGAAAGAGGGGAGAAAGAGAGGGAGAGAGGGAGAGAGAGAGAGAGAGAGAGAGAGAGAGAGAGAGAGAGAGAGAGAACATTCATCAACAGAAGGAAAAATTTTATAGGAAAATATAACCCCAAAAATAAATGAGCAAAAATGGTAAAGAACCTAAATAAGTAGCAAAGAACTTAAATGTACTACACCAGCACAATCTGGTTTTCCTGAATTCACTTCCAAGGGGGCAACTATTTTCACGACCTGAGCATTTACACATTACAGAAAGAAAACTACAATCACTCGGAGACTCAAATATATGGTCCCAGAAAAGAAAGAAGAAAAGGAGAGATTGTTCAATAAAAGACAAGTTTTGCCATGAAAGTAATCGCCCAATTTCCATAAACACATTGGGAAAGTCAAGGAAGATAGTTGAATCCTTTAAATTCAAAATACAGTGAAAGATATTCATTTCATACATGCACTATATCGGCCATGAACTGATTTCTCTCCCCCCGACCCCCGCCCCAGAAGATTGATAATTACCTGCTACATATGTAAAGCATTCCCCGCCTGAAAATGCAAAGTATCCTTGGAAGAAGGCTTCTGTTATCTGGGAGATCTCTGGAAACTCTGCATCAAAAGCATTCTGAAGTCTTCCCACATTCTCCTTCTTCCCTCTCACCAACATGAACACCCCACTGAGGGAAATGATGCCCAGTATGCCCATCTTCAGCACGGTACTCACTGCGTGAAGCCATGACAGCTCTTTCACACCACGAGAATTCAGAATTCCCACAATCCACAGCACCGCCAGGGCAAGGCATTTCTTTGGTAAATTCGGAGAAGAACAGCTGGGATAGAAAGGCTGAATGCCATACTCGGCGAGTAACAGTGCTTGACTGGCAGTTAGCCCTGCACCCAGAAACAAGGAGGTCCAAAGATTCAAGAAGGCCATGAAAGGGCCAAAGCATCTCCTGATGAAATAGTAGTGAGCCCCACTGTATGGGAAGGCTATTCCGATCTCTGCGTAGCAGAGAGCGCTGGTCATGGACAGCACCGCACAGGCAGCCCAAATACACAAGGAGACTCCCACATTCATGCAAGAGTACTCCAGCACCCCCTTGGGGGATACAAAAATTCCTGCACCAATTATATTAATAATTAGAAAATTGACTCCCCAGAAATATCCAAGGTCTCTCTTGAGCTTTATTTGTTTTCCTTTATCCATTATAATTGAAAAAATTAATTCTATCTAAATTAGAATCTCTAAATATGTCTCAATGTACTACTATAAGAGATGTTCATGGACTCTCTGAAATTTTAAAATCACGTAGCCCATCTGTTTCATTTTCCTCAAACTGGGCTACTTTTAATAGTTAGCAAAGTATTTGTGACACAGTTAAGTGAAATAAAATAGATTACCTATAAGGGCTTAATTTAACTTGTCTTTTAATTATTATCAAAATAGGACATTCAATTGAAAAAGAAAGGAACTTCAAAGAAGACAGGCTGCGATTACAGTGTAAAGCTCAGGCAAAACTCCCAAGGCGAGAACACTGTTCCTACCTCTAAGACAGGCTCTAAGAATACCTCTCAGCTCTTAGAAAATGCTCTAACTGAAGGGCATAAATTAATTGTTCTGACTCAGAGATTGCTCAGTGGGGAAATTCCTGTCTACAGGTCATTAGTCTGAAGCCACTAGCTGTGGTTAAGACAATTGTCTGTGTTGAGAGGAGTCGTTTGGAAAAACAAAACTCCATAATGGACTTTCTTGAGATGTCCACAGGAGCTCCAAAAAGACCTTACATACCCCTGACAGCTATGTGAATGTTCAGGGCCATGACAATGTCCAGGAAATAACAGAAAGAATTCCATGCACAGCACAATTCTCACAGCTGATGAGGAAAAATGGATATTCCAAGATAAAGAAAAACTAAGTCATTCATGACCAGCAGATCTGTCCTAACTGGCCTCCAGCAGACTAAAAGACATGAGATAATAACTCAAATTAACATGGAAAAAATAGCCTATCAAATCAGCTGTACAGAAAATATTTAAAAAAGTGCCCCTCGTGGCTGGTTGCTGCCCGCGGCGGCCATGCTGGTGGAGAAGCATGCTGATTAAAAGAATCACAGCCATGGTTACCTTTTTAGAGCTTTATGGGGGGGAGAGACAGAGAGAGAAAGACACAGAAAGAGAGAGAGAGAGAGAGAGAGAGAGAGAGAGAGAGAGAGAGAGAGAGAGAGAGAAAGACAAGGGGGGAGAGGAAGAGAGGGGGACCGACGGGGGGGAAGGAGCGGGAAGGAGAGGGGACAGAGAGAGCCCACAGAGGGCCCACCCGCTTTTAAGGCTGGGAAGCCGGCGAAGGCTGGTGACGTAATTAAGGACGTAAATAAGGACCAAAACCTTACACTCTATATCTCTCTACTTTATTTCTCTGAGATGAAATCCTGTCTCCGTAACTACAGTTCCATCCAGTTCCCCAGCTCACAGTCCTGCTAATGACTAAATTCCTATGCTTTCAGCCTCATCTTCGTCCTCTGTATCCTCTTTCTCCAACACTGCTACTCTCTACTCCTGGCACTTAGAAAACTCTACCCGAGATCTGCTTACCCTCTACAGAACCTCTGTAATCCTCTCTTCTCTCTTGCCATGCCATTCTGCTTGTTTCTACAGCAAATGCCTGCCCTTTGTTTCCCTGGGCACCTTGTTCCCTGCCTCCTCAGGAATGTTGTTTTACTTCTCACCTTGATAAGTAAACCCTCTTTTGTTTTCAGTCAATTGCTCTGGAGAACCACTAGGCCTCCTCAAGGCGAGGAGATGGTCTGAGTTTCATTAGCACAAGAAACAAAGCTAGGCGTCTCCTGCCAGCTTGTCTCCTAAGCTCAGCAGGGGAGTTAGTAACTTAGTAGGTTCAGCAGGTCAGGGGAGCTGAACTGTTTGCCAATTGGTCTGGACACCCAAGGATCTCATAGCAGAAGACAGCTGGAATATTAAAGGCTGAATAATACCAAATATTCATAATAATGGCTTTGCCTTTTGACTGACCCTTGGATGGTCAAAATTTAGCTTTAACATACAGCTGAATCTCTATAATATATTCTTGTGACCTGTAAAAACAAAGACTTTTTTTCTTAGAAGGAATTTGAAGTTATTCTGGTAAAGGCTAAAGACAAAAGAAGACTCCAAAAAATGCAAAGCTTGTCTGAGACCAGAATGTTAACTAAAATGTAGACACATACACAAAAATCATTCTGGGATTCAAGATGGCAGCAGCTGCCAGCACCACTGTGCTGAGGTGCTGCTCTGAGGAGTCAGACAGACCCATGGAAGCTTAGGCAGGGCTGCAGTGCTGCCCACAGGCTGCAAGCAGGCTGGCCATGCTGGGGTGCCAGCAGGGTGGCTGGCAATGGCATGGTGGTGTATAGCAGCTTGGAGCTCCCACAGGTCCTTTCCTGGGACACAATGCCCAACCTCACTGACTCTGAACAAGAAGAAGATATAGGAGACGAAAATGGCTGTATTTTTTAAAATTAACTCTCCTTGAAAGACTTCTGTGGTTCCTGCTACCATTGAAAGTCTTATTGATGTCTATGGTCCTTGTTTCCACTGGAGGCCATGCTAATGTCCATGATGGTTCATGGTGCCAATTGGGGACCATGTGGATATCCATGATCTGAGCGGCCACCAGAAACCATGCTGAAGTCCTGTATCCAACAGGCTGTCTGAGACCATGTTTAAGTCCATGATCCATGCTACTGACAGCTGCTATGGGCAAGGAAGCTTCTTTTCCAATGACTACAGACACATAACTGAGAATGAGAGACATTGCAAACCTCTGTGACAACCTCCTCCTCTCAAAAAAAAAAATGAGAAGTAAACATAATAGGGGTGCATTGTATGAAATTCCCAAATCATTAATATAAAATATTAGGTTGAGGACAAAATCATTCTCAAGAGGTCTCATACACAATTGGCTAGCAAGATTTTGGAAACTGGAATAATCATCTTCTTTGCTATAAAGTTGCAAATTACTTGATTACATTGTATCCACCTTGTCCTAGGACAATATGGAAATTGTCCACCTGCCCCATGGCCAGAAAGGCTGTCTTGAGGATCAGAGGATATATTCCAAAGATCTGAGTGGTGATACCAGGGGCTTCTGAGCTCACAAGTAGTACAAATGAAGAGATTCTCATGTTTATTATTAAACCAAGCAAAACATATTAAACAGTTAAACAAATATAGTACAATGAGAGATATGCCTGTGTTATGTCTTATCATGTTTGGTCATGTGAAACAAAAACAAAAACAAGAATCTTCATCCCAAGTATTTCACTTTCCTATAGAGATAGTGCAGATATGCTAGGGCATTCCTGCCATGTCCTTGCTTGTAAGTGCATTCATTTATCATAGTTTCTAAAGTCCACTTTGTGAGAACATTCTATGTTCTATCCCATCCATAGTTCACAGCTTTCACAGGCTTCCACAGGGACTGATCAGGTTAAAGGGGAATCTAAGAAGTAATGAATGGGGATACTACTAGAAAAAAATGTAATGCTGTGAAACCATTAAACTTTTCATGGAAGTACTTTCAGTTTGTTGCTTTGTTTATTCCTAGCTTGTTGGTTTCAGAAACAGCCTAGTATATAACAACATCTGATGGCCTGGTTCTTGGTATGAAGACCAGGCTAAAAACCTGTAGAAATCTTCCCGCCTCTGCTTCCCAAATGCTGGAATTACAGGCATTCATAAAATCATCTTTTGTGACTGATCTTAATTGTTTATGATTAAATAAGAGATGGGAAAGAGAACTCAATGGCAAAATTTATTATCAAAAAGAAAACAGAGTGAAAACATGGCAGAAAATGCAGGCATTCTCAGTTGCACAAGATGGAATGTACCCATCATCTCAGCTCCTCAGGAGGCCTAGACACAAGAGTCACTTGAGGAAAGGAATTCAAAGTACAGCCCAGGCTGCCCAGCTATGCCAATAGTGGGGTCAAGAGTGTTCTGAGTACAGTATGAGTTCATCACGTTCTCAGAAAAGGACAAGAATGAGAAAGTCTTAATGTTCCCATGGTAATAATTCCATACCTGTGCAGAGTTCAAGAGCTGAGGGAACACATCTAGATTACCTATGAGAGGGGCAAGGCAGAGATAGGGCCACTGCACAAACCCCTGTATAACAATGTCTTTGTACAACAATGTCCTCTCAATATGTGAGACCAGACACATCACAGACAGCCCTCTCTAGGGTGCTAGCTCGTAGAATTAATAACTACAAGCAATCTCACAGCCCCCACTAGAGCACTAGCTCATAGAATCAAGAACTACACACAATCTCACCTGAAAAGTGTGTAGTAGATCCACACAAATAGGGTAGCTATAGAGACCCAAGAACTGATGGCTCGAACTGTGTGATTCTAGAGTAAGAGAGTTATACTGGAGAGACTCTAACCCAAAAGATGGAAAGAAATGAGGGCTAAACTCAGCAAATCCTTGGAGGTAGGATATAAACCAAAAAAAATATTCTCCAGGTTTAAAACTTAATGTTTCACTGTTGGCTTTAAGCACTGTTGGGGCCATTTTCTTTCTGTGCTTACCTATCATTCTCCTTTGAATGGCCATGTCTGTCCTATGCCTACCCCAATATTGCATTAAGAAGTAGGTGATTTAATTTAATTTCACACTTTCAAAACTAGAGTGAATTTGCCCCAAGATAGCTCATGCCTTGGGCTGACCCATACTTAATTCATATGAGTGGCCTTTTGAGTGAGTGATAGAAGGGTTTAGATTGAGGCTATTTGAATTTAATTAATGTGTTTGGCCTGTGACTAAAACATACATTTGTAGGCAAGGACAGAAAGCTATGGTTCCAATATATCCTCTATTTTTATCTATCTATTTATCTATCTATCTACCTATCTATCTATCTATCTTTATCTATCTATCATCTATCTATCTATCCATTTATTTATTTATTTTAATTTAATTATCATCCTGGCTGCAATTTCCCCTCCCTCTTCTCCTCTCAGTCTCTCCCCTCACTCTGTTCCCACCCCTAATCCATTCCTCCTCTGTTTTTGTTCAGGAAAAGGGCAGGTCTCCCATGGATATCAGCAAAACATGACAAATCAAATTGCAGTAAGACTAAGCACCTTGCCTTGTATTAAGGCTGGGCAGAGTGACCTAGTGTGAGGAATAGGATCCCAAAAGCCAGTAAGA